ACTACGAGATGTTGGACAAGTCGGGCTTGCCGATTGACGGCCTGGATGCTGAAAACATGTCCGAGGTTCTGGAGGACGTGACTTCCCCAGAAAGGCCACCTGCTGATACTAAAACCCGCCCTGTGGCGTCGGACTTTGACACGTTATCGAAAACGCTAATGAAGCCCGTGCCTGACTACCCTGTGAAGGACGAGGCCTACGTGGTCTGGGAGATCAAGGACTGGAGTTCTGTGAAGAAAGAGGAGAAGGCGAGAAGTCCGGTTGTGGAGTGTGGCGGCTACAACTGGACCGTGCTCATGTTCCCGTCCAAGGCCAACAATGACCTGATTTCCTTGTACATGGAGCCCCATCCACCCAAGGATGCCGACGGCAACGTGGACCCCAATTGGTACGTGTGTGCTCAGTTTGCATTTGACTTGTGGAACCCGCTGCATCCAGAGCTGCACATTGCCAACGTACTGAGTCACCGTTTCAACAAGGGAGAGACCGATTGGGGGTTCCTGACGTTTATCTCCGCTCGTGACTTGTCCAGCACTGCCAGGTATGGCCATCCTTTGATGGAGAAGAACCAGTTCAACATCACAGGTTATGTGCGTGTGATTGACGACTCCTCCACGGGTGTCTTGTGGCACAATTGGCTCGATTACGACTCCAAAGCACAGACAGGCTACGTTGGCTTGAATAACCAAGGTGCCACCTGTTACCTCAACTCCCTTCTCCAATCCTACTACACTACAAGAATATTTAGAGATTTGGTCAACCAGATTCCTACAGACCCACAGAGCGAGACAAAGAGCAAAGCTGTGCCATTGGCATTGCAGCGTATTTTCTATCTGTTGCAGCTGTCAAACGAGCCAGTAGGCACGATGGAGCTTACCACGTCCTTTGGCTGGGACTCCTCTGATGCATTCACCCAACACGACATCCAAGAGCTCAATCGTGTTTTGATGGATAAGCTTGAGATGGCAATGAAGGGAACAAAAATTGAGAATAAGCTCAACGATCTTTTTGTTGGTAAGATGAAATCCTACATCAAGTGTGTGGACGTGCCTTACGAGTCTTCTAGAGAGGAGGACTTCTGGGACATCCAACTCAACGTCCGTGGCTTCAAAAACCTCACAGAATCGTTCAAGAACTACATTGAGATTGAGATGCTCGACGGCGAAAACAAATATCAGGCTGGCGATGAACACGGCTACCAGGATGCCAAAAAAGGTGTTGTGTTCCGCTCCTTCCCCCCTATCCTTCATCTCCAATTGAAGCGGTTTGAGTACGATTTTATGGTTGATGACCTTGTGAAGATTGATGACTATTACGAATTCCCCGATAAAGTTGACCTAAGACCTTTCCTTGATGATGATTTACCCGAAGAAGTAAAGAACGAGAATTGGAACTATAAGCTTCATGGTGTTCTTGTACATCAGGGTAGCATCTCGAATGGTCACTATTACGGTTTGATTAAGCCTGAAGCACATGATGACAAGTGGTTGCGCTTTGATGACGACAAGGTGTGGAAGGCCACGCCAAACCAGGTGTTCTATGAGAACTACGGTGCCTCTGAGGTTTCTGCTCAGCAACTCAGACTCCTCACACGCAATGAGCAGAATGAATACTTGATCCGGAGAGCCACATCTGCCTACATGTTGGTGTACTTGCGTGAGTCTGAATTGGATAACGTCTTGCTTCCACAACAGTCGTTGGCACCTACACCAAAGTATGTTGCCGAGCAGATAGAGAGAGAGCAAGAGGAGTTTGCAAGAGCTGAAACCGCCAGGAAAGAGGCCCTCTTTTACATGTATGTGAAGGTGATCACTGTCAAGAACTTTGCACACTACAATGGCTTCGACACCTACCCGGATCCAACTGAGCCTCGCCTCTATGACGAAAAGATCTTCAACAAGGATGCCTATCCAGTCACCATCAAAGTAAAGAAGGATGCCCCTCTCTCCAATCTTTATGAGCAAGTTGCAGAACATTTGGGTTATTCTACACCTTCAGAGACTGGAAACACCACTGAAAGCGCTATTTCTGTCGACAGTGAACTGTCTTCGAGCTGGCCATTCAAGCTTCTTTGCGTTAGTCATCGCAACAACCGGACAAACAGACCGGATGCTCCAATTCCGGAGCTGCTCCTCAGTGCTACAGTGAGCCAAGTGTACACTCAATGCTTCAAGCGCCGTTACGAAGAGATGGTTTTCTTCGTGGATGAACCATCAAAGCAACTCCAGAGCATCGAGAAGTCAACTCAATTGATCAGCCCTGAGCAATTCGACTTTGAGGCAGCCACACAGAGAATCCTTTCCAACAAAACAACTCACTCCTTACCAGCCGAGTCCTCAAACTCCATCAGAATATTCATCAAGTACTTTGACCCTGTCAGTGATGAAGTTCGTGGACTTACTTATGTGACAGTTCCATTAGATTCGCAGGTTGCGCTGTTGACTCCAGTTATCAACAATGTGCTTCAATTTGACCCAAACACGCCTTTGACGTACTTTGAGGAGGTCACTCACACAAGTGTGGAGCCTATCGATGATACAACGACATTTGAAAAGAATGAGTTGGGCACAGGAGACATCTTGACAGTGCAGCTTGCTGACATAGAGAGTGCTACATTTGACAGACTTTTCGTGAATGCAAAGGAATACTATGACTTCTTGCTCACAAGGCTTCATATCCACGTGAAACCATTCAAGGCAAACGAGGAGGAAGAAGACAGTGACTTTGTCGCTGATGACGACAAGAATGGTGATGAGAAGAATGGCGAGAAGGCGTCACAGGCGGAAACAGCTGACATTGAGCTTGCGAAGGAGATGAGCAAGTCTACTGATATGTGGATCCTGACCCAATTTTCTTACGCACAGCTCGCTGATGCGGTTGCAAAAAAGCTTGGTGAGACTGTTGATCCTGCAAAGTTACGTTTATTTGTGGTGAACAATCACGGAACAAGATTCCCATTGCTGTCGACACAATCTCTCTCGCAGGTCTTCACGAGACAGGTATCCGTCTCCTCCGTCACGAATTTTGAGTATGAAATTCTCAACATCACGTTGAAGGAGTACGAGAATCTCAGGTCAATCAAGATCTACTGGATGAATACGATTCAGCAATTCCATTTATTCGACTTGTTGGTTCCTAAGACTAGTACGGTCGCCGATTTGGTGAAGAAGTTGATCCACAAGCTTGATATTTCGCCAAAGCTTTGGAGTAACTTGCTTGTATGGGCCGGCCAGGACAGCAAGTACAGTGATCTTGTGAAGTTCGACCGTCAAATCAGTGATCTCCCCAATGCTTCAGAGATCTACTGCGGTTATTTCCCTGCCGAGGTGGAGATTCTCGTCAGCAATGACTTGTTCAAGCGTTTCGACGAGAAGCACGTTTCGAAGGATGATATCGAAGACGAGCTTCTCCGGGTTGAGTTCGAAAAGGCACAGAAGTTATCACAGAAGCTGAACCTCATCCCAGTGTTCCACTTCCACAAGAATCCTTCGTACAGCCACAGCAAGCCGTTCATTTTTGTCGTATTCCCAGGGGAGCCCTTCGAAGAGACAAAGACGCGGTTGCGTAAGAAACTCGGCCTCGGTGGGCTGGCTTTCGAGAAGGTCCGCATTGCGCTCACGGACGCCAATGACAAGGGCCGGTACCTTGATAGCGACAACCCCAACCTTGAGCTTTTCGAGGAGCTCAAGAAGTTCGATGCCGACACTTTCCTTGCGCTCGATCATCCCGACAGGAATCCCCGCCGCCAGAATCCGTTTGAGAAGGGTATATCGATCAGATGATGTTTGCCGCAAAGTTGATCTTTGTAACAATGCACGGTTGTCTTTCGCCTAGTGAAGGCGCTGTTTCTTGACTCTCTTGAGTTCCTCTTGACGCAAGTCAGTAGAGCTGATTTTGCCCTGCCAATTCTCATCCTCCTTGCCTGTTGCACCGAGGACATCGACAGAAACCACTTCCAACGCTGGGAAGTCCTGTTTTTCTCTGTAGTCATTCACGAAATCGGCGCCTTTTCTCGTTTCCTCGCTGATCACCAAAGCGTCAATGTCCTTGATGAAGCCAGTAGGACCACAAACATCGTCAATCTGGTAAATGGCAAAACTGACCGAGGCAGGCAAAATCTCCTGCAAAAACCTCGTCACGGCTTTGATGCGCTGTTCAATCGTCTCCATGGCATCGGCGTATTTCTTCTTTAAAAGCATCTGAGGACCCGTAACACCAACGATAAGGTGTTTTTTCGTCACGAAAGCCGCCATCAGCAACAAAATCTTGTGACCATCGTGAAGGTGATCAAACGTTCCACCCACTGCACTAACGGCGAATTGCTGGTACGCAAAAGACGCAAAATCTGGTGTTTTCAATGTGTTGATATCTGCTTCCACAGTGAGAACCCGATCAGATAAGCCAAATTCGGATGACTCGCCCTTAGGCACAAACGCTAATTCCCAGTCTGTTCTCCTTGTTTGGAAGATCACATTGATGCCGAATTTGAAGGAAAAATTGCCTTTGTTGGCATGACCTCTCACCTGGTTGTATAACTGGGCAAGCACGAAGTTGAGCTCTTTTGTTTGTTTTGGCGGGTGTGCCACGAGAATATCGACGCCTGGATGAGAAGAAGGCAATTGAGCGAAAACGGCCTCGAAAAACCGCCCGTAGTCCTTGGAAACCGGTGTTTCCACCACCAATACCGTAGAGAAACCCATGATGGATGAGATTTTCGCACAATCTGGGGAAGTTGAGGGTGGGGGTTTGGTGAAAATTTCCAGAAACGGGGAATTTTTTAGAAGGTGGTCATCATTTGGAATAGGCTTCCGTACAATTCTGGGAGTTTGTTGTGCTTTTTAAAAGGGGATAGCAATACATGGAATACTGGACCATGCGCTTATGACTATCATGAGACCCACCTACTATACGCAATCAACTAGGGTGATGATATTCTACCAATTGTGTTTTCCCATCCAACCTTTTCCTATTTACAAGTAACTGTGAACTTCCGCCCACGCCTATTTACAGGCATTGTAGACCCTCCACTGGAGAGCCTTGAGTTTGTGCTCCACATCGACCAGCTTCGACTCCAACTGAATAAACGACTTGAGCGCCAACATCAACCGCTTCAGCTTCTCGTCAAGGTCCTCTCTGTCCTTCAACTTTCCGTACACAAAACGCACGGAGTTGCCCACCACCGTGGCATTGGCGATGTTTCTCCGAGGATCGAATATCTCCCTAGGTGTATAGAACAAAATACCCGATCCGAGAATCTTCTTGTGCACCTCCAACGCATTGTCGTGGGTTTCAGGTGCATCTGTCCAGGTGGTGCTGGTGATATGCTGGACGAGCGAGTTGTAGGAATCCACAAAACTGTTCAGCATGAGCGCCTGTCTGTTTTTGCCCAAACCGTAAGTTCTTGATTCGGCCACCATGATACACTTCATGAGCACTGCCAAAGGATCAAGCAAGTCGTTGAGCTGCTCCATTGTGAGACTCTTTTTGGGGGTGTTATTGGCAAGCTTTTTCTTGCGGTTGGCCACAAGACCTTTGTGGAGATTCTTCTCGTTGTAGTGGTAGATGTCTCTTTTGAGGATAGAAAAAACCACATCGAATGTCTTGTCCCTCGGTTTGAGGGATTTGCCGATGTTGGACGCTGGAGACACTATGGCCGCAAGAAGCTCAGTGATGAACTTCACGGGAACATACCGTTTGGGAAAGTTCTCCTCGATTTTGTAGATAAAGTTTTCCACGAGCATAGGGTCAATGACGGTGCATTCATGGGGCGCCGTCAAGTCCTGCTTCTCGTTCTTTGAAAGCTTTGTAAATTCGCCCTCGTCCTTAGTAGGGGCCTCATCTCCCACAAGACACTCCTTGATGTCAAACTTGCCTTTTTCGTTCTTCACTCTTGTCAAGTCGGGATACTGAGACCTAGGCAACGCTCCACAGCTCAAACCGTCAGAAACGGCCTTTTTCAAGTCGGTACGGCTGACGTAGAGACCGCCCCATTTCGTCAAGGCGTACCACATGGCCAAGTAGAACTCCTTCACAGCACCAATCTTCAAAAGAGAGTCCGTGGCGTGTCCCAACAAGAAGTTGTTGATGCCCAAACCCTTTTCCAACGATATGTGGACCAGCAGGGGGAGTTTCTTACCGAATTTGCCCTGGGAAGAAACGTACGTCTGGTGCTGAGCGAGTCTCTTCACATCAGCAAACCGAGGACGAGAAAAGTCCACCAAACGCTTCTTTTTATCGGAGAAAATGGCCCTGGTCTTGTTTGTAGAGAATAACGGAGGCGGGAAAACCACCAAGGGGTTCACTTCCTCCTTGACAAGCGGCTTGACGTGGGTTTCTGGAAGATCTTTATTTTCCACAGCAGCCTCCTCGATTCTCTCGTCTGTCCGTCTTTTAACGTCAGCCGAAGGCTCAAGCACCCTGGTCTCGTCGTTCTCCTTGGCAAAATGCAACATCAGCTCCACCTCGGGGCACCACAACCGGAGGTACTCAAGACCCTGGAGCATGTACTGATAATGGGATCCCGAATTGGGCGTCACCGAGGTGCCTGCAAAATTGTTAACGTAGCACAGTACGAAGGTGGAGGCAAAAACGGGATCAATGTCCATGAGAATGCCCTGGATATCCTCCCTGTACTTTTTAAGCACCTCAGGATCAGCCTCCGCTTCAGCCTTGGTAGGAGGCACTGGAGGAATGGCCAGTTCCATGACTTTTCTGTATACGTTTTCGGCCGTCTCCACGAGCTCCGCCTGAAGCGCAAAAAGCTTCCTGGTACGCTCTGCAGCAGAAATGTTGGAAGCTGTCTTGACCTGAGAAACCTGCTCTTGAATAAAGTGCTTGCGTCCGTTAAGGAAAATCGTAAACGTCTGGCAGTCCGGCCTGAACGACTTGGCCTCCTCGGCAAGCTCAAAAAGCTCCATGGCGTACTGCTGGTTGTGGGAGAAGCTTTTCATGAGAACCAGCAAACAGGCATTGAACACACTCACCGTAGGTCTCTTGACTCTCTGGAACTGACCAAACAAATCGTCAGCCATGGTCTTGGTCACGCCGCCCCAGCCAAAGTGCCGCGCCAAGCCGTCAAAGTACAAGACGTATGTTTGTTCGTTGGTCGGTATCATCCATTTTTTGCGATCGTGCAACGCTTTCATGCCCATTTGCACCTTGCCGTGTTCGAAGCACCACTGGATACACGCGTTCAGCGCCACCACGGCGTTCCCACGTGCCATGTGGCAGAGCTCCATGGCCCTGACGGTGGATCTATCGGCTTCTAGAAGCTTGAGCACAGCTTCGGTGACTTTGAACGGATCTAGAAGCGCCTCGGGTGCCACGCCACACAAGAAAAGCATGAGTTTCGGCGGGATCTTCTTCTTGCTGATGCGTTTCATCTCCATGAGGTTCTCGAACACCGCAAGCAGCTTCTCCAGAGTGACCTCAAGATCACTAGGACGGAGTTTTTCCAAATCCACCGGCTGGGAACGCAGGCCCCGTCGGAGAAGCGCCGCGTCGAACTTCGACCTTATCAAAAGAAGCGCTTTCTGCGCACTGAGCAGGTTTTTCGCCGCATTGAGCGCCACCCGGCGGTTCTTATGTTGAATATGAGCAGCAGCCTGAGCAGGCAGAAGCGGCTGAATCTCGCCGTTTTCCACAAAGCGCTGGAGCTTCGCCTTTATATGCGAAAAAGACGGCCTGGACGGCGCCTCCTGTGCGGCTCGGGACAAAAACCGCCTTAAAATCATGGTGCTCCAAAAAGTGTTGATGGTGTATGTGATGCTCTTCGCAGCCATTTATCACCAACATATACACTCCGATTCGCAGCCATTAGACCCTACTCTTTCTTGCTATGGACCAAAGAAAGCTGTGGCTCCAGCTCCGGAGAGCCATTGGCAAACACGTGGCTCGTGCCAACAAAAGCAACGTCAAGCACATTTCCATCAAGCTTTTCGAAACAAACGTCGTTCGAGGCCGTGGGATATTGGCTCGAGCAATCCTAGCAAATGTGCTTACAGAGCCCGACAAACACGCTGTTTTCGCCCTGTTGGTGTCGGTATTGAACCTGAAGGTTCCGCAAATCGGAGAGCTCGTTGCTGCCCGGACAGTGGCGCTTTGGAAGTACTTGTACATGAAAAACGACTGCACGAGGATCTTCAGGGTGTTGCTTTTCCTCTGTGAGTTGATCAAGCAGAAGGTCGTGGAGGACGTGGTGTTGTTGCAGATCTTGCAGCTTTTGGTGGAGGAGTCGGTCACGGACGATTCCGTGCACTTGGCGTCGTTTGCCTTGGAGAACATGCTGGCGTATCTAGACCAGAACGCCAAAACCTCGGCGAATCTGATCTACGACCAACTAAGAAACATGCTCCAGGAAGGCGGGCTTCTGGAAAAACGCCGCAACGACATCCAGTATCTCCTCGAGCACCGCCGCAATCGTCCCAAATACCTTATAGACCCTGAGCTCGATCTTGTGGAGGGTACCGAGAAAGCCACGCATTACGTGGACCTCACCGACCTCCAGGAGCCCGGAACGGACCTTAATTACTTCCAGGAGGACCCGGAGTTCGAGGTGGCAGAGGCCACTTACAGCCAATTGCAGAGACAGATTCTCGCCGAGGAGGTCAGGCAAGAACGACCCAGCGAGAAGGTCGAACACCCGCAGAAAACCACCGATATGACCGACAAGACGCTTCTCCAGCACCAGAAAACCATCTATTTGACGGTGATGTCGTCCATGTCTGCAGACGAAGCCGTGCACAAGCTTCTTCGAGTCAGACAGAAGCAGAAGCTCGAGCAGGCGGTTCTCGTCGACATGATCGTGAAGTGCTGTGCCCAGGAAAAAACGTACTCCAAGTATTTTGGCGTCATTGGAGAGAAAATGAGCGGAATGAGCCAGGAGTGGAATAATACCTTCACCAACGAGTTCCAGCAAAAATACGACACATGCTACCAGTACGAGGGCTCCCAGCTCCGAAACATGGGCAAGTTTTTTGGCCACTTGATTGCATCAGATAATTTACGGCCCCAGGAGACGCTCGGCCATGTGGAGTTGACGGAAACCGGAACCAACAGTGCCAGTCGAGTTTTCATAAAGTTCCTCTTCCAAGAGCTTGTGGAGGAGATGGGCGTGAACGAGGTGAAGCGGCTCGTTCAGGATCCCGAAGTGAAGCCCACGCTCCGTGGCATGTTCCCTGTGGTTCTGGTGGACGAGCTGGACCAGGCGCATATCATGTTTTCCATCAACTACTTCACGGCCATCGGCTTGGGTGTTTTGACAGAGGAAATGAGACAGGTGCTCAAGAATCTTCCCGAGCCTCGTGGTCGTCGCAGCTCGTCGTCGGGATCGTATTCAGATCTGGCTTCCTACAGCCGTTCTGAGTCGTACTCTCGAAGTCCCTCCAGAAGCCGCAGTGGATCGAGGTCCCGAAGCTGGTCGAGAAGTCCGTCCAGGACGCCGTCCCGGGAGGCCGAAAGCAAGGAGTAGGGTGATGAAGTTGTTACGAATGCATAAATACAATCACGTAATGGAGTTGATGAGGTTGTAATTGGTATGAGATTGTAATTGATCTGGGGTTGTAATTGATCTGGGGTTGTAATTGATCTGGGATTGTAATTGATACGAGATTGTAGTTGATATGAGGTTGCAATTGATATGAGATTGTAATTGATAGGTGAATGTAATTGATAGGTGATTGTAATTGATAGGTGATTTTAATTGATAGGTGATTGTAATTGATATGGGATTCTAGTTGATACGAGATTGTGATATGGGAATGTAATGGAGATTGTGACTTATGCTATTGTTTGTGTAGAGTTGAATAGTGGGTGCTTGAGGTTTGCAGCCTGTTCTATTGTATTGAATGATACGATATGGTGTAAGGACATATTGGCACAAAGTAGACTCACTATTTTCTCAATATATGATCACAATCACTCACTTTGATAATAATTTGATAACTCCAATCGATAGAGGCCACCACTAGAGGCAATTGACGTCACTGAAAGACAGACTTTCGTATCAGCACTGTGAGTTAAAGAACATTGGCAGGTTTCGGAGTCTACGGAGAGAAGGTTGACTTTTATTGAGAAGGCACCAAAAACAGCTTCACCAGCTATGTGAAGCAACTAGGATCTGGACCTCAGAGGCCCATTTTTGTCCATCTTCGTCCTAAGGCTTGTATCTTCACCAGTTCACCTACGCTGATGCACCTCTTCAACACTTGGTTCATGACATTCAATCACCTCCCAAGAAACAGAAACTTCTACAACACAGCAAAAAATTCCTTTTTCAAGATTCCAAAATGACCACTCTTTGGCACCAAACGCTCACGCCGCATGGGTCTGTCATCAGCAACCTAGTGAGTTGCTCGTTTTGCAGCCATTTAGAGCACTGGCAGTGTAGCAATAACAAGCCAGGCGAAGCAAGAGAAGCTTATCTGAGCCAGAGAAGCTTATCTGAGCCAGAGAAGCCACGGATTGCGTGGAAACGGAAATTTCTGGGAAATTCTGAAAAAAAAAAATAAAGATTGTGGAAACGTGCAATCGTTCGATATCTCCACAAGTAGATAAGGTTAGAGAATTAACGCGGGTAGCAAGGGACGATCCCAGCATACAAATCGGGACCACAATTTGATGAACTTTTTCAAGGAACGGCCAAGTAGTCGATTTGGAGATCCCTATAAGAAATCCCTTTTTTAGGGATCTCTTTTTTATCATCATACTCAATCTCCTCAAGCCACTGGGTGAGACATGCCGCGGCTATAATCCAGCAGCTGCACAAAGCACGGTACCGTTTCGCGTCACCTGACCTAGAAGACGGTCATTATATGGCTTCCGCAGGACCGTTCCGGTTTCTCCCGTGCCGGACCGCTGGCTCGCGTAGCCAATGGCCTAGCGGGTATAAAATAAACAGGCGCCATGCAGGACGATTATTGCGGTTTAAATGGCATGGGTCGGTGAAGCAGCGTCAGTAGAAGCGTTTGCGGGCATCGGACGGACGGACAGAGGGTGTCCCGGAAGAATACAGCCGTTTGTGGTGCCCAGCGGGTCACGTGCCTGCAAGCGAAGAGCAGTTTTTCCGGCCAATGGCAGCGCGCGGAAAATCAGCTTCCTGCTTATTGGCCTTTTTGTTACATGGCAAGAAAGAAAAACCACCTCTTCCCTATATATAGCGGTAAACGCTCACTCGCCTCCATCGTTGTTTTTTTTTCATCTCCACATTCATAATACATAAAAATGCCAGCTAAGTTCGAAAAGGGTTCCGAGAAGAAGGGTGCCAACCTCTTCAAGACCAGATGTCTCCAGTGCCACACCACCGAGAAGGGTGGCCCAAACAAGGTTGGTCCTAACTTGCACGGTGTTTTCGGCAGACAGTCCGGTCAGGCTGAGGGCTTTTCTTACACTGACGCCAACAAGAAGAAGGGTGTTACCTGGACCGAGCAGACCATGTCTGACTACCTTGAAAACCCCAAGAAGTACATTCCAGGCACCAAGATGGCCTTTGGTGGTTTGAAGAAGCCTAAGGACAGAAACGACTTGATCACCTACTTGACCAAGGCCTGTAAAGACTAGGCCTCTCGCATTGCCTAGACGCTGGCGCCGTTCCTTCACTGTAAATATAATTATTGCATTTGTTTTGATTTGACGGGCGATGTAGCAGTGCTGAAGCACGGGTTAGATTTCGGGGATTGGTAGAATTGAGAGATTTGAGAGATTTGACTATGACCGGCTCGATAAGAGTAGGGCCACTTTTGTGGGGTCACGATAAGGTGGATTTTTCACGCAGAGGTTGCATATGCACATGTTGCAAGATTACGATTGTTGCAGGCGTTGATTACGCTTCAGTCGATGATTACGTTTCCGTCGTTGATAACGATAGGCTCCATGCCTCGAACACTATAAACGTTTTCTGCTGTACGGCTGCAATTGTCTGTCGTTGACTGTCTTAAGGATTGCTGCAGCTGTATCATCCGACATCTGCCCATGAACGCTTATCTCCTGTCAGTCTTCCTTTCGAAAAGACCCTATTCATCTGGCATCTGCCACCCCACTCACCCTAGATCACCCCATCTTTATCTGTAGCAGCTAGGTCATTGACCTTTCCTGTCAGCTGCATGCAACCACCCAAACTCCTAGAAGTCCCCTGGACGGCCACATAGATGAAATGCAAATTTCCCAATATTCTTCTCCCCTCACGCACGCTGGATGTCAAACTCCACCTCGGTGATGCTCACCTCCTCACCCTGCTTATCGTCGTAGTCGTACCACTCCTTGTCCTCCAAATCAACCTCCTCGAACTTCGTGCCCAGCTCTTCACCTTTACACTGCCACCTGCCTTCAGGAATGAACTCCACGAAATCCACACCTCTGGCATCGATTTCAAGCAATTTAGCCCATCCGCTGTTTCCAGCCTCCAATGTCTCTTTGGTACGTTCAATCAGCGCCAGGTGCTCGTGCTTGCATCCTTTGCACCTGAAGACAAAACTGGCCTCGCCACGCGACCCGGAAATGTCGTGTTTCTCGAATCTGTTGATGTTGACTGGCTTCTCGTGAACTTCTCTGCACTTTGTGCACTCAATTCTGAAAGTGTACTCGTGGTGAGCTTCGGGAGTGTCCACAGGCTCAAGATCGGTGACACCGGCGAGTTCGGCTTTGATTTTGAGGTAGAATTTCACCATTTCTGAGGAGGAATGTGGTTCAAGATGGTGATGGATCGATGGAGTGATGATAAAGGCGCGGTGTACGGGTGTGTTGGCATCACCAGTGCAGTCGGCTTCACCAAAGTGGAGAAATGACTCATGGGCGGTCATTATTTGTTGCATTTTGGTGGCTTTGGAGGGATGGGTTTGGGGAAATGACAATATGGCTGAAAGAGTAGTGAAAGAGTTCTTCGTGAAGTGCATTTGAAAAAAGTCAGGAAACGTGCAAGATAGACTTTGGCTTGATCTGCCGAGGCATAGCTTCCATTTCTTAAAGACTTCACCTTCAATTCTCAGATGAGCCACAAATTTCGTCAGACCCGGCAAAGATCATTCGAAGATTCATGAAAAATCAAGATCACGTGACCATACACATGACCGACATCAACTGAACATCGGAGTTTGAACACTTCATCAACCACCATGAGTTTAAACGACATCCAAGTGCCTGTGGAGGTCGATCCCAACGAGGATACAGAATGGAACGACATTCTCCGTGCTAAGGGTATTATTCCAGAACGCCCAAAGTCTCCAACCGAGGAACTAGAAGAAGCTTTGGAACAAGCCGTCAAGGCTCAACACGAGAACCGTCTTGAAACCAAAAACTTGGGTGAACTCGAAGAGCTCGAAGATGAAGAGGATGAAGAGTTTTTGGAAATCTACAAGCACAAGCGTTTTCAGGAGCTTCAGGAACTCCAGAAGAAACTGAAGTTCGGGTCTGTTCAGCATGTCACCAAGCCAGAATACGCAGACGAAGTGACCAAAGCTTCTGACGACTGTTTTGTGTTTCTTCACATGCTGGCGCAGCTGGCGGTCCAGTCTCGTCTTCTTGGGCTGCTTACGATCGAGTTGGCGAGAAAGTTTCCTGAAATCAAATTCTGTGAAATTCCCGCCAACAGATGTGTTGAAAACTACCCCGAGGCAAACTGCCCCACGTTAATCATATACCACAAGCAGCAGATTGCCAAGCAGTATGTCACGTTGACGCAATTGGGCGGCAGCGACTGCAAATTGAGGGACTTGGAGAAGGTGCTTGTGGAGATTGGTGCCGTGAAGGATGCCGACGAGCGCTTGGAGATTAATCAGAATGACGAGGATTTGGAGGAGAGCAGGAGGACGCGGTTTGTGCAGAAGGGTATCAGAGGCCCTGCTCTCAATGCCAATGCTGAAGATGACGATGACTTTTACGACTAACGGCGCCGCCAGTACATAGACAGTCGATGGGTGATAATGGTATTTTGTAGATGGTTTGGGTTAGGTTTAGTGGAGGGGTTAAAAGAGGGGCTATCAATAATCAGAGAAGGTCTTTAGATTTGGAGGCGGGTTCCTTGGTGCAATTCATGGTATCTGATTTTTAGGAAACAGTAACAGATTTTTGGGTAAAGCCGTGACTATGGGTTCGACGGTGAAAAATAATCAACTAATGTTAGATAAGAGCCATGGCTACGTTAAAGGGCGGCGATAAACTCATCTGAGACATAGAGAAGGGCCTGGTGGAGACTATAATATAGGATAAGAAGAAAACAGAGAACAAAATCGACTTTTTCCAGTAAAAGTAAATTTAAAAAGCAAATAGATCAAACAAGTGGTCTTCAGAAAAGGAGTTGAATAAAATAGAGTAGCATGGGAGAGATGAGGCCATCTGAGACATTTCACTGATTTGGACCATCAACGCCAGCATCAAAGAAACAAAAGCAATTAAAAGGATGATAAGGTCTTTCAATCCGACAGCTCCATAAAAAAGAAAACGACATACGAAAAACTCTCCCTGATCTCAAAACCCTCCATCAACGACCACACTCAAAACGCTTCCTTCATCTGAAACAAGCACTTCCCTCCTCTTCAAAATCACAAAACCCATGCTTCAAAATCACTAAATCCGTTTAAACCAAAACCACAAAAAGTGCCAAATCCTCAAACCTCCAAGTCTCCGCAAATCCCAGATCCTTCGTTCCATTCCGCAGCACCTCTGATCGTCCAAGCCCTAATCGCCAAACCCTCCCGTTTGCACCCAATCCCGTAAAGCCAAAACCCACAAAACACAAATCTCCAGAATTCAACAACTCTTTAGAAATTCTAATATATCAAAATCCCCAAAAAAACCAAAAACTGAAATGCCCCAAGATGCCCATGCCCACCCGCATCGTTCCATCTTCACACATGCCAGGCTGACCCTGAAAGCACCACCTCCGCCCAAACCGACCCGAAAAAGCCAAAACCACGATTTTCCCAAAATCCCCCAA